AAAAAAAAACAGAACGCAATTTAACATCGAACCATTGGGATTAAATCGTCGAGGCACTATAGAAATTTAAAACGTACCCAATCTTTGTGAGCTTCAAAATTATTCTTATGTAGCTAGTGCTCGTTTCCGGAGAATAATAGGTCAGAGGAAAATACATTCCGGTTTTTCTGATTTAATCAGATCAGAATCAAACCATCCGAAACTTTCATCTCGAAACTTTTCTGACGAATAAGATCAATCGACGGATGCGAAAAAGTAATCAAACGATCGTTTTCAACTCGTCCCTCGTTTTCAACTCTTCCCTCGTTTAAGATCCGCCCCCTCGACTCGACTCGTGTATTATGCTTCATGTATTATACATAATCCTCCCTCTCGCTTCTCCTTTCGTTCTCCACTCTCATATATTGATCATTGTGTTTTAAGAGCCGATTCTACCGCACCCGTTTTGTTTCCTTTCAGATCCGTGGAGCACTCGAGAATTGGGACGCCAGTACCTTCAAATCGAGTGAGTACATCAGACTTATGCGAGATTTTAGATTCCTACGATCGAGTTTATTCGTGTATAACGAGACCACTGGGCACAGTGGAACGTTTAGTATTCGACTCAAGGGGTACCTTTTTTTTTTGGCCAGAATATATTACATACAAAGCACTTGACATAATCTTTTGAAATTTGGTACGTTCGTTCACGTTTTGCTTTTTTATCCAAAATAATAGAATATCTTCTGATAGTTTCGTATTTAGTTTAGCTTGATGGCCCGTGACATAAACGGTTCTAACTTTGCCATTTTGGATATTTTTTAACACGTTGGCTGCCAGACTAAAACTCGTGAACGTTTCTACGAAATTAAAATTTCGTCTCGAGACTGTTGAAAATGATATAATCCAACGTTTGTAGTAGTATTTAATGTTTTACCCTCGACAAATTCGTAAATCCATTCCAAATTTATTTTCATTACCGTCTTACCTTTGAAATTAATTTGTTCAATTCCTTAATGAAAAGTTCCGTCAGTCATTTCTGGGTGAGGAAGCGACCAATGTGTTAAATATAATTTAGTAGAAATATCGTAAAAATCTCCAGCAATATATTTAAGAACCATCAGTTTTTTAACTCGGAAAATAAGGTACCACCTCCATAGTGAGAATATAGCTACTGCAAGTCGCCTACTGAAGCTCGACTAACGGAGGTTCCACTGCACTCGACTTGATCTCGATAAGAACCACCTATTCGAACGCATCGTTATCAGGCAAAGTACCTACCTGGCGCATTTTACGCGACCGCGATTCCCGAGCGCCAGCTGCTCCCATTAAAATCGCGAGATTTCGGTCGAACGTAGAAAGTCGGACTTCCGAGAACACGGGGCGGTTAAAGAATTCGTGGTTTACTGCACAAGGAAGTCTACGACGGGCGAGTGACGATAATGGAGTCGAGAAGGTGGAGAGAGAAAGAGAAAAAAAAAGACGAAATGATTCGGTGGTAAATCATATCCCCGATGCGTGAGCGGTCCGTGGAAGGCTCTCTTCCGTAATGGTTAAGACACTCCAGAAGAGGAAGCGAGGGAAAAGAGAGAGGAGATCCCCGAGCAAAAACGAGTTTCGTAGGGAAGATAGCTGAGATGATGTATCGCCGGATCGAATCTCTGGAAGACGATTTCGGACACGCTGGCATTCCATCATTGCGAGCAAATTTTCGCGACCATGTATCGAACCGCGATCGGCTTCGATAAGAAGATGCGTTCGAGGTTCGACGGTTGAATCGAAGCCTCGAATATAGGTCGACGAGCTAGCGTCTTCGAGTCGCTTATTGTTAAGGTTAGGGACTATTCCCTACATTTCAAGGAATTATAAAACCTGTACAAAACGTTTGTTGAAATGAAAAAATTGAACCTTTTCTATTGAAAAGGGTATCTTGAGATGTAAACATGATGAATCGATAGACACATGTAGGTATCGCGCACGCATATAGCTCTTAATTATTAAGGGGACCAGAAAGTAATGTCGTTTCCGCGAATATCAATACTTGTTTATTATTTATCAGCTCACTGTGTACCAATCGATTTTTATCGATCCGGTATTAAAATTTCCTCACTAAATGGCAAAAGATAGTTGAGAACGAGGACGATTACATAATTGATTAAATATAAGAACATATTATAAATTTATTTGTTTGAATTTAATGTACAGTGGGTGTAGAAAGTATTCGTACACCAATCAATTTCCAAAAAAACTATGTAAAATTGTAATTTATTAACTTATATTTTATAAACAATGACATTCTACATATTCTCGGAAATCTGTAGAATAGATAGATTACAAAAAAATATAGTTATTTATGTAAGTTGCGAAATTACCAAGAAAAAAGAATTAATCCATAGAAATGTTGAAGCAATAATTATTCGCACAACTGATTAATTTTTAAAATTTCATTAAAAAAAGAAAGAAATTTACACCAATAACAAGTACATAATTACTTTCCTCGTGGGATTTCCTTTTGATTTTATAATTATTGCAACTCTTCTAAGCGTTAAGTTAACTAAATTATTAGTTATTCGAAGTGGGATCTTCTTCAATTCCTCTATTAGAGCCATTTTTAACCGACTTCGAAAAGGAGGGGGTTACTCAATTCGACATGATTTTTTTTTTTTTTTTTTTTTTTAAATGTCTGTTCACCGATTACGCCGATATGGCTCGACCAATCAGAGTGGAACCTGTTGCATTTTGTAGAGCATGTTCCCCCGGTGATCCTGCTGTTAAGACTTTTTGCGATTTGTCATTTTTTACCCGTCTTTGTACCAAAAAACCGTGATTTTTAGGTATGCTTGCCGATTACGTCTAGATGGCTTGATGAATCGAAGTGAAACCTTTTGTATCTTGTCGAATATTTCTTCCAGTTGGTCGCGTAAAAGAAACATTTTGTGATTTGTCATTTTTTATCAGTTTTTTTTTTTAAACAGAAACATTTTGTCTTGCTTCTTACTCCGAGACGAATGGACCAATCAGATTGAAACTTCTTGCATCTGGAAGAGCATTTGCCATTTGGTCCCATAGCAAAACATTTGTCCTTGTCTTATTTTTTACCACTTTTTATCACTTTGTATCGCGAAAAGCGTACTATTTCACGTATGTTTGGCCTGAAACCGATGAAATCCCTTACATTTTGCTGCCGGAGAGGTTTTCGCAATGATCACAGATGCAAAAATTTATGAATTTCTGTATTGTTTATAGCTATTGTTATCGCTAAATGATATGATGTAACTCGATGAGGAAATTACCGAGCGCGATGAAACCTTCCGCATTTCATAATAGATGAATTCGTGATATTCCCATTTTCAAAAATTTATGGATACTTTCATTGTTTAAAATCATTGTTGGTGCAAAATTGCTATGCTCTGGTGTAGCTCGACAAGGAATTTACCAAACGCAATCAATTCTTTCACATGTAGTTGCACATGTATTCCTGATAATCCCGTTTGCAATTATACAGGGTGTCCAAAAAATATTGGATGTTCTTGAATGGGGTGTTTCGGGGGGGGGGGGGGGGGATTTGAAACAATTTTTCTTAACGAAAATGTTGTTCGAGGCTTCGTTAAGGAGATATTGACAGAAACCCCCGACCAATCAGAGCGCGAGTATGCCAGTGGAGCGCCTGCGGTAGCATAGGCTCCGTCAATATCTCCTTAACGAAGCCTCGAACAACATTTTCGTTAAGAAAAAATTGTTTCAACCCGCCCTCCCCCGCGGAAGAAGTCTTTTCAAGGACCTCCAACGTTTTTGAGTCATCCTGTATATTGCTCATAACTGTTGTTATTGCATGAAACCTATTGGTTATAGATTGCCACTAAAAAGAGTAAAATAAAATAATTTTTTGGAAAAGAAATTTAACCGACTTCAAAAAAGGTACAGTGAAACGTATGAAATAATTTCTAGTTAATTTATATGAATACGCACTAGCTCTAGATATAATTGCTTAAAAGTATGGGAAAATGCAGTGAAAAGTGTGAAATAATTTCTATTTAAACTGCATTGTCATTCACCATCGTCTGATGAATTTGGTTAAATTATTAAATACATCATATTAAATACAATGCACCTTTTTTGGAGGCGGCGCAAAATTTAGAATTAAGTATATTAAAAATTGCTAAACTTGGTTTAACTTTCTGTCGGAGAAACAAAAAATATGATCTTTATTTATTGCTATCATTACATCCACTTTGACATCATATTCATGACACTATTCAATATCGCCGCCGCCACCAAATACTATCCCAAACCTATTCAGACAGTATTTCCATGGGTAAAGTATACAGAGTGTCGTTGAATTAGTGTAAGAACCGGAAATGGGGGGTAGCTGAGACAATTCTGAACCACAATTTCCTTTGCGGATAATGCTTCGTTTTCGTTAATATTCGACACCATTCGAAACTTTTGCAAACAAAATCGTAGTTCAGCATCGTCTCAGCTATCCCTAAAATTAAATATTATCAAACTTGGTTTCACTTTCTTTTCGAGGAACAAAAAATATGACATTAATTATTGCTATTACTACATCCGCTTTAGACATCATATTCATTAACACTATTCAATATCGCCGCTCCCACCAAATACTATCATTACTATCCATATTAGTATCCATATTATACATTAGCAGTAATCAATATGGCCGCCACTCCCCTTTAAAAAAGCCCCAAATCTACTCACACTATATTTTCGTGTACATACTATATATATTAACTATTAATTCCTCATAGATAATAAACATGTATACATTGACAGCATTCGATATTGCCGCCTCTACCAAAACCTAACCTAAACCGGAATTAAAAAATTTTTACATCTGCGCCGCCTCCGAAAAAGGTGCATTGCATTTAATATGATATATTTAATAATTTAACCAAATTCATCAAACGATGGTGAATAACAATGCAGTTTAAATAGAAATTATTTCACACTTTTCACTGCATTTTCTCATACTTTTAAGCAATTATGTCTAGAGTTAGTGCGTATTCAATTATTATTATTTCATTATTTAATTATTATTTCATACTTTTCACTGTACCTTTTTTGGAGTCTGTTAAATTCTTTTTCCAAAAAATTATTTTTTAAAAATACTTTTCTGGAAATTTGATGTTTTCTAATTCGTACGGAGCAATAAACTAATATGTTTACGTTACAAACTCTACTGTAAATGGTTCGTCATACGAATCGTACAAATACTTATTGCTTCTATACTTTGACCCACTTTTCGCATTTTTTTTGTTAATTTCACAAATTATATTAACTAGTAAATGTTGTTTGAACTATATCTATCTCAGAGACTTCCGAGAATATGTAAACTATCATTGATTATAAAAAAACAAGTTAAGTATCTAAAATTTCAAACAAAAGTTTCTTGGGAAATTGATCGGATGCCGAATTCGATTCGAATTGAACGATGTTTCTTATACGTTACTTTCTACTCATCCCTAATATTTTAATACAAAACCGCCACCTAAGGAAGTAAAAAACAGAGTATAGTGAGTGTTCTTTGCATTCTTCGAAGCGTAAGAAATTCCTTATCGATGACTGAAGTGCCTTAGTCTGAGGTGCCTACTCTAAACTTGACCACTTTCTAAAATTCTCCTTTGTAATGGCACTGTGGCAGCGTTTAATTGGTTTCGTGCATTCTGTCGCCAGGCGACTTATTTCCCGGCTCGTTTTGGAACTCTTACTGGGAATACCTGGAGAGCTACGGCGAGGCCAGGAGGATTCTGGACGAGCTGAGAGCATCGGAGGACCCCCTACTGCACTTCCTTAGTCTTAGACAAGCCGCGGCCAGGCATTCCCCGACCACGTTGCTTCTTCTACCGGTGAGTTATTAATAGCTACACGATACAGAGACACGATATTACGTTGTAATCGATAGGATTACTACGGCGATTAAACCGATCGGGGTAGGAAAAGTCCCGACGCCCCGCGACTGTGGATCGATATACAGAACCGCGTCGCGTGTAATGGGAATGTATAGATCCGTCAAAATATTAAGCGAGATAGTTATGGAAATTAATACAATCTGGATACCACGATGATATACGCGGTAGTTAAATGGAATACGGAGTCTGTGTATAATTCTGGGAGGAAATTGATGCAGACTAAATTATTTTTCTTCTTTTTAAAACCGTAAAGAGACTGATCGATTCGCACCCTGGCGATAGCGTGGAGGAATGTTGGGCTAACTTAATGCTAACCCCCTCGACGTTTTATTTAGACTAACCGAGAGTATTTACTATAACTTGGTCCATTACGTAACACGCAGAACAATTTTTACATAATGCCAAAACAAATTCATTTCTTCTTCATTTCGATATTTAATGTGAAGAGAAAATAATTAACCCTTTATGGACCGAATTTCTTTGTTCTGCAGACAATTTTCAAGGCATTCATTTTGATATCTCAAATTGATGGCGTTGTAAAACCTCATCAATGTTATTATTGGTTACCAGAGACATTATATAATTAAGACGCATACGTCATCTTGCGAGACAGACTAAAATTATTTGTTAAAATGTCGACGTATTAGCATGTGAACCGGAAATTATATGACCCCATAGAAGGTTAAAGATAGTTTTAACACTAAACCAACCGGCAAAAATATTTCACGGCATACTGAATTCAATATCACACGAAAAAATTGTGTATACTTTACATATTGTATATAAGAACATAAGAACTATACACAAAAACGGTCATTTGACCTATCGTGGTAGGTTTAGTGTCAAACTATCCACACCAACAGCTTCGGTTCATCCTCCTTCTTGCGAGCACCTTACCGTTTCACCAAACTTATTTCTCACACCTAGTCTACCATGTACAGGTCCATCAGGTTGATACGACCTACAAAGAAGGACTGGATTTTAGGTCAGTCGGATTAGAATGCGTGGATCGTTTCTGGACGGTCGTAAAGCACGTTGCGTGTAATTACACACGGGTAACGTCGCTCTGACGGGGCGCGTTCATCGCCTGGAACGCGTTTTTCAAAAAAGAAAACGAAAAACGACTCGCGCGTAAGTTAGTCGCGTCGATGCCGGGTTGATTGCAAAATAGAAAAAATTCAAAAGTATCCGCGGCGCGAGTGTGCCGGCCGTAACCGCATGCGTGAGATGAGCTATGTGACAGCTTATAACGGGTGTAATGATCGGAGCTTCGAACAGCTCTCCACCACGATGGAATCGACCTCGACTTTAACGCCCGCTGAAATATAGACTCGGAGCTTGTAAGTCATGCAGGTGCACGGGCACATAATGCTCGTGGAACGATGATCGGTCTCGGTAAATATAGTTTTCTCGTGTGTGCGAGCCCTTAATAGGTCTCGTCGTTTCCCTAAGATATCGCCATCAACGGGATTTTCTCGATTTGGAGGTGGGAACACGAATGATCTTGTAGCTAGGTGCTAAAAATCATGAAAATTGAAAAAACATAGTAAACATAGTAAACATAGTAATAGATAAATGGACTCGTAGCTTAACTCACCTCTTAATCGTTTATTAACGACTCCAATTTATAGTATAGCTTTTTACCAAACACAAATTACAATTCCATGAAAAACACCGCTTCCCACTCACTAGCCTAATTCACCCCTTAATTGAAATTCATTTGAACCCGTGGCGTTTATTAACGACTGTCCAATTTTTTGTAAAGCTTTTTAGCAAACACAGATGACAATTCCATGAAAAACACCGCTTTGCCCACTCCATAAATCTCGACAACCACCTGCTCTTTGAGCCCTTGCATAATTACGTCGTCAGACCTTCCATTGCGTCTTCGAAACCAATCGCGTAGATTCCGCGATCGCTTTCACCGTTCACGGATATTTCATAGAATTCAATAGGTGTTCGTCGTACAGATATCACGCGTTGTCCATCCGATCCTAGTAATTTCCCCGTCACTCGAGACGATTTTCCACGCTTTCCCAGTCGAGCGTAATCGAAACTTGTCTTTAAGGAACGCCGCCACCGCATTTAATCGCGTTATTTGCTATGAAATTTCACCTGCTTATCGAAGCACCTGTAGCTACCGCGGCTAGTGGCCGGCCTACGCTAAATGTCCAGTAGATTATGCGATGCCTCGTCACACGTGGGTGTCCGTTGCCCGTTCATATCGGCTCCCCTTGCCACATGACGTTTGCACCGCTTTGCTGGTTGACGCGGTACACGGTACGCGAATACAGATGTACGCTGTGAATGTTTAATAAACGCGTCGGTTCGTCTACTACGCTAAAAAAAGAAGTGCTAGTTAGACGTGCATCGACTCTGCTGTAAAATGCGTCAGAACGTCAGAAGTGTTCCGTAATACGGACGTAACCGTCTCGGTGTACTGGAAAATGCGACATAATCGAACGCGACGGCATGCAAGACCTTGCACTGGCGTATCTTTGTATGGTTGAAGTTGAATATATTAAGTGATTAATGCAACTCGAGCGGAGGACACGAGGAATATCACGAAGGGTATAGTCGTGGGATGTCTTGAAACTTTTGTTGGCGATATCGAGTGATTGATACGAATATGTCGTAGGTGTATCGAAAGTGTATAATTTGAATGACGTTTATGCCAATTTTCATGCGGATGTGTTGGTTTATACACAGGACGGATTAGGTAAAATGGAACACTTAAATATCTGCCTTGGATTTGAAGGAGAAAATGTTTTTAATAAATTTCTAAGGCTATCATCGAGTGAATTTACTCGAAGAACTTGTTCCAAGGTCGTTTCTTTCGAAGTTAATAAACGAGGGCAGGTTTCTTGGGTCCCATTGGTTAGAATTAACCATGTAACTTTCATATCATGTGCTAATATATCGATATTTCGTCAAATAAGTTTAGTTTTTTCATAAGATGTCGTATGTCTTAATTAGATAATATGTGTGATAACTAGACTGCGGATCTTTATGCAAAATAAAATCTTCGCGAACGTGTCTACAAACATTGAACCTAAATAGGAATTTATTTTATTCAACAAATATTATATCGTGAACTTTGCTTTCAACCTTTTTTATATTCTTGCATATTGTTTGCATTTTGTAGTTTCTTGCACATTCAAAATCCCTTCAAATGCATAAAGATCCGCAGTCTAGTGATAACTAAAAACAATATCGATGACGGTCGACATCGATCTGAAATATCAAAGTAACTCCGTTGCAAATTGTCTGCAGAAACAATATAATTTGGCTCATAGAGGATTAAGCAAAATAAGAACTTCTGAAATTAAGATGAAGATGTAATATTCCCCATCCTCGGCAAACAATTTAATGTGTATGGATCGCGTCGATGAACGTTGCGTCAAAGATGGAGATCGCGAGTCTTGAAATTAGCTGCGGGTAATTAAAAGCGTAAAAAGCTAACGGTCCGCCTAGCTCGGTGAATATAGCTGATGCGTACGCAACGGGCCTCGGTGCTCGATGCTTCGTGGATGATAAACGATGTTACGTTCGCATCGATGGTCATCGCGTAAAGTTCTGACGTAAGTCGATAGGAAGAATGTTATCTGTTCGCGGTGGTTGAACCGTGGTACGGTGTTCACCAGCGTGCTAGAACCGTTGATGAAGAAAATTAAAACAAGACTCGTCGCTCCTGTAATCGATGAAGTCGTCGTACAGGCTGGAAAGAATGTGTTCGAACACCTCGAGATCATACCTCCAGTCTAGCTCTAATATAATCGATTAGGTAGCGCAGGAACGATAAATAATTTACGATCATGCGCAACAGAGTCGCAGAAAGTTGCGTTCTTGCAGCGATCCAAGTGATAATCTCAGAAACCAGCTCCCATACCTATACAGGGTATTCAAAAAAAAGCATTTAATATTTATATGGTGTATAGGGGACACTGTACTGAGTAAAAAAGCTTTAGTAAACATAGGTCCAAAGGTCAACCGTTTCTGAGATATAAACATTTTTGTTTGCTAGTATCATGATTGACTTACTACTGGGTTTTCGATATTTATAGAAGATTTTCCACGTGTCCACCGCTCATTTCTGTACACGCTTGGCATCTTCTTCTTACAGAGTCGCGAACTCTCTCGAAAATCCCAGATTTCTGTCGAATTATTTGACAAACATGGTGGATTCGGTTACGTAGTTCTTCTAAGTCATTTGTCGACGTGGAATACCCTTGGCTTTTTAAATATCCCCATAAAAAGAAGTCCAGAGGATTTAAATCGGGGGATCGAAGAGGCCATGCAACTGATCCACAACTGACTAAATCTCAATGAAATCTACTGTCGACACTTGAATGGGAACATTCAGAACGCAATTTATAAACACTGACATAAACATCGAATGCGATGGAAGCAAGACAATCATGATACTAGCAAACAAAAATGTTTATATCTCAGCAACGGTTGACCTTTGGACCTATGTTTACTAAAGCTTTTTTACTCAGTACAATATGCCCTATGCACCATATAAATATTGAATGATTTTTTTTTTGAACACCCTGTATAATCTCGTTATACTCAGGGGCTACAGTACGGGCTTAGCGACCCCAGGGTTCCCTAGCTAGGTGGACAAACGCGTATAAAAGACACAACTGATGTAAATGTAATGTACAGAGGTACGATAACGCGAACTGAGTCAAAATTAAGGAATTATGTAAGGTAAAGTAGTGTCAAGAAGAATAGAAATAATCGTATCGTGATGTATGGATCCAGTGCAATAATTGAATTGATAGTTATTCACTTAAAAAAACCAAGCAAGGGGGTGGTTCCTTACGAAATACTGAGTTAAAGATATAAAGTAAAGTTTTTTCACGCGAGTGTTTATATCAAAGATAATTAAGTTCGTAGATTCAATAGCTACGCGAGCATTTAGTTACAGTTCG